AAAGTTTTGAAGCTTGTGTTTGCACTCCCCAGACTTTCTAGTTAAACAGAAACTTGATTATTTAATTTCTGGAAAGGAAACCAAAACATAGCGAAGTAAAAATCTAATAATAATTAGGCACAGATACAGATGTTTTTGAGTGCTTCTGTATAAAAGACGCCTTGTAGCTTCAACCAAACCTTCGCTGCTTTTCTCTGTGTTTAACATGAGCTATTTCTGCTGCTTCCCAGGATTAAAAAAGCCAGCTGGTATGTTAAGCTCCAGTTAGTAATGTTTTAGGTCTCAAAATAAATATTAAAGAGATTACATTTAAGGGAGGAAAATAAGAGTAGCAAAAATAAGCTTGATAAAGTAAGCCTAAAAACTGATTAGAGTATTGCACTCCCCCCGTCGCTGCGAGACACACATACTCGCAGAGACTCTGAGATTACAAATCCTTGCCTTCGGCTTTGTTTCTTGTATCACACTATTATCAGTCAGCCGCTGTTGCGTAACTGCACTGTGTCTGTGCATGTGTGTGTGTGTGTGCACAAAGAAGGAACTCACACAAACAAAACCCCTCTATTTATAATATTGTATTGAATATGTCAAACTTAAAATGAGGCTATTTGACAAATCAAGAGTTTATTTTCCTGTGAGCTTGCTCGCAATTTTGCACATCTGAGGAAGTTAAGCTGCAGCCTCTGATAAATGCATTCAGCCCGCCATTCGATCATGTAATAAAAACACCCTTTCCAGTGTGTTTTTAATTAAAGAAAACAATGGCCCCTTCATACAATTAGTATGCTAATGTGGGCTGACAATTGCAGTTACTATTTCTGGGCCTGCAGAATCACCAAGACCTTGCAAAGCCGTTCTATTTATTTGATTTCAACTAATTAAAAAAAAAGGGGACTAATGTCTTTCAGGTTGCTCTTTTTCTTCTGTTTTTTGTTCACAGTTTGTCTAACAAACCACAACGCAGCTCATTATGCCTCCTATTTTGTAGCAGTTAATATTTATTTAAATGTGTTGACAGCCAAAAAGCAGTGCCAGAAAGGAAAGTGCCTACCCATAATTATCAATAAAATCAACAACGTACAGTATAATTCACGTGGGGATTGGTATTTAAAGCGCCGTGCGGCTACATTCTTCAGTTTACGGTCAGATTTTCTCTCGATTTAATGGGCAAGTCGAAGCAGGCTGGCTGCTGGGTCCTGCTGCTTTGCTTTAAGCAGACCACAGTCAGGCTAATCACCCACCTCCTCTCTCAAATTCATTCATACAGTCAGGAGTCCACGCTGACAGCAGCAGCTAACCTTATTGCATAGACTACGTTATAAAGCTACTCTAATATATTCCCACAGGAAGGCTTCCCACTCTATAATTTGTTGACTGCTGCAGAGGGTCTAAAGAGCAGCAATAGTCTTTAATGCACTTGTAAACACAAGCACACAGACATGCACACACACACACACACTATAGCTTTGAGAAAGAGTTGAGCAGTGCTCAGGGAGGAATAATTATAGATGGCATTGAATTTCCTGCTCTCCTCTGTGTGCAAACAGTGTTTAGCCAGGAGGGTTTGCTTGCCTCACATGTTTACAGCATGGCACTAGTTGGCAGCGGGGTCGCGTTATTGTAGCGCGTCTGGTCTGCAGTGGAGGCTTGACGAGCGGAGAGCTTTGACACCAGTGTCCTCCCCCAAGTAACCAGCTTCTTTGTTTTATTTTTTTCAGACAGGAATAGGAGCCGGTGTTCTAGCACCTGAACTTACAAATTCTTTCATGTCCTCACATTGGAGACTGCTTCTTCCTCCAGCTCTCCACAGTCTCTGCAAACTAGTGAAACATTCACAAGGCTGATTTCTGACATGAGTTCAGAGTGAGACTGGTAGTAGGCTACAGAGTGTTGTTTGTATGCATGAGTAACTGGCAGTCCGCCTGCAGATATGTGTGTGTGTGTGCGTCGTGTTTATGCATGGCTGCGTGAAGTGCTGCACTCCCCATACCTGGAGCTGTTGTATTTGTCAGAGAGAATAGGCTGGAATTGAATGTACTTCTCTGAGCTGGCTGTGAAACCTCATTACTGGCTCCTGTACTGAAGAGAGTCCAGAGAGAAGGCAGAGTGATCCTCAGAGAGAGGGAAAAAAGATCAAGAGTGTGCTCGGACCTTGATTCAATTAAAATCAGAGCAGAGGATTAAGTGAGGTAGCGATGCAGATCTGTGGCGAAGGAAAGACCGACATGAAGTGTCCTGGTGAGGTCGCACACAATGAGCTGCTGGAACAGATTCAGTATTACTTGCCCCTGAAGTCTCATTGGGGTTTGCACTGTATTTTTTAAAAATAATTATTCACAGTTTTCTGTTTTGATGTTGCTGCTGTGGAGAGCTGGCTAGCATGTTGTTTTAGAGTCCTTGAGGGTTTTTATTTCAGTGGAGATCCAGTGACTGCACAGGCCATAGAATATAATTTGCATAATGTCCTCAGAGCATCATAAATATATTCAAAAAATCTGGTCTTTCTGTTTTTCTTTTGATGTGTCATCTGTCTGTTGGAAGCAGCCTGACGGAGAGAGACAGTGACTTGCAAAGAGAAGAAGAGAAGCAAATGTCGGGATCGAAGGTTGTGCAGAATGATATGAGGAGAAAGGCTGAGTTTGCCTTGTTCAGCTGAAGCCAGCTCAGTGCCTCTTGTTATTCTGGCCTTGTACGTCTCTGCACTGTACACTGTACAGAAACTGACAGAGTGGAGGAGAGTGAGTGACAGAGCGAAACAGACAGAGCGAGTGAGGGGATGCAGAGATTGCTGCAGGGAGAGGAAGACAATATGATGTGACACAGTGGAAAATGGGCAGAGGGGGGAGTGAAGCTATCTTGTAGGTGTTATCAGGTTAAGCCACCCACTACTGGCTGTCGCCATGGTGACACCATGGTAACGACCAGGTGTTCGACTAGGAAAGAGCAAGACCTTCGTTATGCAAAGGGAACTTAATCTGTGGGTTATTTTTCGTTCCTCTTCGTATCATTCAAGTCTAAAGGTTGTATGTGAATAAAAAACTGTCAGCGGATATAATAATTTACAATTTCCGGCTGGCCGCTGCTTTATGATCTGTGTCTTACCCGTACAGTTGAAGCTGTCCTTCATGAGGTGTTTCAGTTTCAGGTGTTTCAGTTTTTAAAAATGCAGCATAATAAATGCACACAGCCTGGATGTGGGTGCTTGCATTTAGTACAGTGTGGTTTTATGGCACAGATCTGCATATATATATATATATATATTAACAAATCCTCCAAATTGTTAGAAGCAGATACACCAGTGTTTATGTTGTGAATGTGTGGGTCAATGTAGAGGTCAGATATGAGTGTTTCCTTATTACTGCTGTACGTGTTGTTTTGTGTATATATGTATATTACTGTATGGCTCCTCTATGCTTAAACCTATAAGCTGATTTGGTAACGTGCTTACAGAGATCTCTGTTTCAATCCGTTGGTGTTAGCTCTGTTACATCACTGCAGCCGACTCTGTGCGTGAGCATATGTGCGCACACATACACACATATGAACGTGTGTGTTCGGTGGGGCAGTGGGTGTGGTGTGGAGGGCTAACAGACGCTCGGCACATGGAAACACACTAGGAACAATGACACACGTGCTTGTGCCATGCGCACACCGCGGGCCAGCCACACAAATACAGTGCGCAAAGGCAAAACACACACCATGGACTTCTGCTCTGGCTCTTAAAGGCGTACCGAGCCACTGCCGAGCACATATCATGCCAGATAAGTGACAACCTCTGATCTGCATCCTAAAGCTAGGCAATTTAATTGCTATGCAAATGAACGGCTCCGAATGCGAGCTACCACCACAGTGTGCGGTTCGCTCCTGTATTTTCTGACTGTGCTCGGGTGATTTAAGGTGAGAGATGCGCGGACGTGTGGTGCTTAGCAACGCACATCTGCGCCTCTATTCATCATATCCAGGAAAAAGTCACACCAATCAAATGTAAAAAATGAATTTGTCTCTTTTAGAGGCAGAAATCATTCCTCAGTTATTTTCTCTGTCATTCAGTATGTGCTTTTTTCCTAGTATGTGATCTTAATAATCTGTGCCCATCTTATTTATCTAGTAGACACCATCATGATGCTCTTTTGTGCACTCCTTCTCTACCTGCTCCAGTATCCTAATCTGACTTCTGACCTTTGTGCAAAAGGGATAAAAGAAAAAGGACTTGCCTAGTGGGAACAAGACTCACGCTATTATTAATTTCTACTATATTTGCTGTCCCCATTGAATACTGGAATAAGCTGTCTGGGGCAGGGTTCACATTTTAGCAGCTTTTAGTATTCCATATCCACCAGCTCAATGCTCGTGTTTTTGAAGGCAATGACAGCCAAGTATGATTGTGCTGGAATGACAGAGTCTCATTGATAAATACTACCAGTACAAATGCGCTTTATGTCTGCACACTGGAGGGTTTTATTACTATAGTCCAGGAAATTAAGCTCAATACAAAATGAAACAGCGATGGAACTGTAATTCAAAAATGCAGAAGCACAAGCCTAGGAAAAAAAAACCCCTAAAAAATGCGCATGATGCTTCCGTTGTGCAGTTAAGTATCATATGACAGAATGAATGTTTAAACAGTTACACAGGCGTAAGAGCAAGAAAAAGCAAGACCACTTCTCTTGTGAAATGGGGAAGGCGAAGCTGCCAGGAAGTGACAGAACTGGGAACCGAAGACAAAGAAATACAGTCAGAGGGATGAGAGAAAACTGAGGAGGAAGTTGGAGAGACAGATGGGAGTTGATCCAGCGGAAGGATGCTCCTCGGGGTCCTCATATCCTTCTCCTGTTTCCTATTAGATTACTTAGCTTGAACCTGTGTGCTTCCTGATCCAGCTGTTTAATGTGAAATACGGGACTGCTGTTGGTTGTAATGTTCATTTTTTAGAAATGTTTTCACGACTGTTTCTCACACACAGTTCTCACGTATTTATTTTGTTTTTGTGTGTGTTGCAGATAAACCTGCGGCTTATTTTAGTCAGCGGGAAGACGAAAGAATTCCTCTTCTCTCCCAACGACTCGGCAGCAGACATCGCAAAACACGTTTATGACAACTGGCCGATGGGTGAGTAGCTCCGTATAGATATTCCAGTTATAGATAGAGAAGTGTGAGAATTCTACACATGCATAAATGAGAGTCTAATGAATGGAAAAGTCCCTCTAGCTAAATATAATCAACTTGTAGTGATGCAGCCACTTATTTCTCCTCCAGCAGTACATACAGGTCACTCAGGTATTTCATTTCTTTAATGAGCACTCAAGCTTTAATGCATCCATACACACAATTCACAGTTTGATTCAAGTGACTTCAAAGCAGCAGCGATTTCTATTTCCAGAAGAACAGTGTATCAACTGGCAACGTGACAGTGTGAGAGAGGTCTCTAGTAGTAATAAACCTCAAATAAACCTGAATCTGCAGCTCTGCTCGGTTTTATGGAGCTTCAGAGTAAGTTTCAGCTCATCAGTTCACTCTCACAACATTGCTTTTGGCTGCAACAGGCAGCTTTATTCAATAAAAAAAAAAAAAAAAACGCTCAAAACCCACCCGTTCACGAACTGGTGAACACAGTGGAGCAATTTGGAGCAGCTCCGGCCTCTTTTACGTCCATGTAGTGACCAGATAAGACTAATGCAGCACAGTTTGAGGCTCTCAAGTTAACAGCAAGATTGGCGTTTAGGTCACCAGAATCTATGAAGATGTGTAGTCAGCTTGTGGGGGAAGCTAGTTGAGTTACGAAAGAAGCTGCATAGCTATATCTGCATGTTTTAATATTCATGAAAACATTAAAAAATTACGTAATGACAAAATTCCCATTTTTCACATTAATTCAGATGAAGGAAACTCACGTCTAATAGACTCTATATCTCACTACAAAGTCGTTTGCGGCGCTTCTCCATCTTTATGTATGAAGTGTTGAGTTGTATTTGCATTTTGTAATAACATCATTGCATAAGCACAGCTGCAGCACATAAGCCGTAACTGCTATCAATTTAGAGGCTAATGCACTTGGAAGCCAGGCGATCGGACTTGTTGGCAGTTTTCTATAACATAATCATAGACAGAGATCACTGAGGAGCTACAGTGTGCACGCGGAGAGCTGAGATCACATTCAAACCAACTGCCAATTACTTGCATGTCGGTCTATAGCAGTGTGGGAATGTGCAGATCTTTGGTGTAGGGTAATTAGAGTCAACTCCTTTCAGCCTGATTATCATTGCATACAGGAATGCAGGATCACAGTCCAGCCACCTCCTCTCTGTAATACACCCACTCCCTGACTGCTGCTACACCAGGGTTTAGGGTTCATTTGATACCCGCCGACCTCACGCCACCTTCGAAACGCAACCGGCTGTGGCCTTTTCCCACGGCGCTTGCGAATGTAGTCCAGTTCAAGGGAAGCCACACAATGCGCGGGGAACTACAAATTACAGCGATGAACTCAGATTCTCCTCGACAACGGGAGTTTTCCGTTCAGTCCCGTCAGTTTTGGAAGCGCCCCGTGTTCCTCCCAGACAACACATCTGAACCCTGCGAGACCCAGAGCAGGCACTCAGTCAGCAACAACACCCTCCGCTTAGCTGGAGACAAACATCTGGCGGCCAGACTCTGCTGCTGTGCAACTCCCCCCACTGTTTTCTCTCTCATTTAATGCCTTCACTTTTGTCTTCGGTTCTTCCCAAGCCACACCTCGCGTTCTTCTTTCGCCTCGACTCTTTCTCACGTTCTGCAGTGCATCCCGCAAAGCCCGGATATTATACATTCTGTATATAATGATCTCAAATAAAGGCCCTAAATGTCTCAAAATATCTTCAGTGCGGTTGTCTGTGGTCCTTTTTTTTTTTTTTTTCCTCCACCATGCAGTGACTGATTTCATTTCACTACACTGTATACAGTATCTTGCTTTGACACAGAACAGGGCCAACGCAGCAGTTTATAATTCAAAGCTTTTCATCACATCTTGTCTGCTGAACTCAGTCAGAGCTCCTTAGCACTTAAATTCTTTGTGTCTTTTTCCAAATTGCTAATTTAAAGTCTGGGAACCTTAAATAACAGCACATAACTGACTTTGTTTATTGTGGGTTTTAAAGTAATTTCAGCTTGAAAAGGTGTTGATCTTGCATGTTCTCAGTTTATAGGTTATTCAGTGATGCTTCATTGAAAGTAGGTAATATAATGTAGCAAGTTTAGCAAAAAAAAAAGACAAAAGAAAAGGGGAAAATATTAAGCTTTTCTTTAACTCTCGTTTTCCATCTACCTCTGCCCTTTTTCTTATTTTCAGACTGGGAGGAAGAGCAGGTCAGCAGTCCTAACATCCTGAGGCTGATCTACCAGGGACGCTTTCTACACGGCAACGTAACACTAGGAGGTGAGAAAACACAGAAGGTGCACCACCCAAAGAAAATGCCTGCGTGCTCGTAGACATGCATGCAAAATCACAGCAGTGTGCTGCTGGAAAGTTCTTTGCTGTTCTCATCTTTTTCCTGAGCCGCAGAACAGAGGTACCTCAGTGCTCTGGACAAGCCCGCTTTGACGGCCAGAGGGAGGAGAGAGGAAATACAGAAAAAGAGGGGAAAGAGACTGGTCAGGAAAGGGGGAAGACTAGCGCTAGAGCAGACCTCAGGCAGGACAAAGAAGAGTCGGAAAGGGAGGAGGGCACGAGAGTGAATGCAATAAGTGAAAAGGGGAAGAAAAAAAAAAAGGGGATGCCTTCTTTTGTGGCGACTCTCTCTGGCTTTTAGGATTTTTTTTATCTATCTAACACAATTTTGATTTGACTGGTGTTTTTGTGGTTAATGGGGTTATGGCCGTCCCTAACCCTTTTACACTCATCCCATTACTGCCGTCCATCTGATAATTCCCTTATCGTTGGTTTAACGTGTTTGCACGCTAACACTGAATCCTCTTATGGTCGAGCCAAAACTCCCAGCGGTTTTGAAATACAAACACAGACACATGTTAAAGCACACAGTAACAAAGTGCTGCAGCTTAGATATTAACTGCTGTTTGGTGAGCGGCTGCTCAGGTGGAAAAATCTAGCGGCTTTTTGTCAGCAAATGTCACAGGAGGACTGCTGTTATTTGCTGTTTTACAAAGCATATTTATAATAGAATGTCTTTTAACCATCTTCCATTCATTTCCATATAAATATCAGCTGTCAAGTGTCTTTAGATAATCGTCAGTGAACATAATGCTCAGCTGTTTTCTTGCGTGGTTATGTGCTTGAAATTTTTGTTACAGTGGTTGATTGATGAGGGTATTTATACATACATACATGACAAACCAAGATGGTTGAAACAGCAATTATGTTCCAGTTTTATGCGTTGCATGACATCAAACTCTTCCCTTGTATAATATAAAAATGTCAGTAGTTTATGAGTTATTGATTGTCATACACAACATGGGATCATGTCATCACAACATGTTTGTGGTACAAATCAATAAAAGATATTGATTTGTCACCTATTTCGTCCTATTAAAGTTGAATTCATTCACATTTTTTCATTTCTTTCAAGAGTTTGCGGATCGATTGTTAGTATGCAGCAGTTCAAGGCCAAGAAGCAAGCCAAGCCCTCCAAAATCAATACCTGACTTTTCAAATATGTTTTTTACATGAAGGTTTACATCGGTGGGCCTTTCCATCGTTACTGTGCAGCAAAACAATCTCACAGTCGTACACTTTGACACATTCGGCCACTTCTCTCTGTGGTGTCGCTCAACGCTGTCCGGTTTATTACAATTTGTACTCTTGTTTCAGAAAATGAATCAAATGATGGTGATGGTGAATGCCAGATAAACTGTATCTCTCTGAATAACCTTTACATCCTGTTTCTTTCTGTGTCTAAGTCTCTCTCTCTCTCTCACCTCTCCCCCGCTAGCTCTCAAACTGCCCTTGGGGAAGACCACAGTGATGCATTTAGTTGCCAGAGAGACTTTGCCTGAGCCAAATTCCCAAGGTAACCAGCTCTCTGTCTCCCTTCTTTCCTTTCAGGAGGCCTTTCACACGCTGAACAACTTTAAATGTTCTGCTCACAGCCATTATTTATTTCTACACATGGCTTCTGTTTTAGGAACAGCCAGTAGTGCAAATAATTGGCTCCTTTAAGTGTATCCCCAAGATACAACACATTGTGCAGAATATACAGCTAATATAAATCATACTAGATGACAGTCTCGCTTGTTATGACTGTGTACCAGGGGCTGATTTCTGCTGTGGATTGGCGCTGACAAATTCGGTTTAAATGGAAATCCATGTTCACTTAGTGACCACTTTAATTTGCTATACATTCTGGATGAAATGAGCCCAAGTCAGGAAAGGTAAAATACAGAATTGCCTCAATTTACTTTGGAATAAAAGCTTTTTGGGAGAACATTAACAAGGCAAGGTTGTGCTTTTTGGGGTTTTCCCCTTTCTTTTATGATGTTATAGCTCTTTGTGCTAGTGAAATGTCTGCAGACCTACAAAGTCCACTCGAAGGGAGTTATTCTCTCCAATAGAAAACACTTCTCCTCACCTGCCTGAAACACCTCGATCGAAGTCCAGGCTTTACTTTCATCATTTATTTACATTTACCATCATGCGAACACATGATGTATTTGCATGACGGTAGATGCACTTCTGCGATAACGGTGATAACATATCTTGCTGTCGTTGGGACAGCTGACCAATCAGAGTAGACTGAGCTTTTAGAGACGTGGGGGGGATCTTAAAAAGACGGGAGACGGGAGCCAAAACAGGGTGGAGGGTAAGAAGAGGTGCTGCAGCAGTGTGCAATGTGAGAAAAATAACATGTTTTTGAACATTAAAGCTTGTAAACATACTCCAGTAGACCCCAAAAATGAAATTATAAACCCATAAACATGCATAATGTGGGCTCTTTAAGTTTGGAATGAATGTACAACAGATGGTTCTAAAAGAGATTTTTTAAATTGCCCGAACGCTGGTGGTAAACTTTGTAGTTTGCTGTCTATTTTTATGAAACCATCTAAGTTAGTCTAAAAGCAAAACAGAGTGCGCACAGACTGAAAGCAGGCCTTTGTTTTAAAAAATGAAAAAAAGTTGTGGGGGCATGTTGCTTCAGGTATCGGTGATACTTGAAATACAATCCAGAACGTCCTGTTTGAGTAACAGGACTGTCTTCTTTTGCAACAGTTATGATGTAAATAGGAGTGATAAATGACATTCACGTTACAAACTAATCTCCCGGCAATGTGCTCTTGCAAATATTTGATTGGCCAACACAGCGATGTGCAGCTTCACCTTGTGTTGCATTTGGCAAAAGTTGACCCCCCTGTTTTCCCCCGAATGACCGTGCGGTTGTTTTAGCAGAGCCAGAGACAGACTGAGCGTTTACCATAATGAGGAAGAGGCATTGTTTTTAAGTCTGTGTGAACACAGCATTTAGAAGTACAATGTTTTGCAATGAGATGTGATCATCTTGAGCTGGAGATCGCTGTTAGTCATGATGATGATGTTGTTGTGTGTCTGTGTGTGTGCAGGTCAAAGGAACAGAGAGAAGACCGGGGAGAGTAACTGCTGTGTCATTCTGTAAATACACACCTCCGCCACCAGCCCTCCATCCTCACCTGTTCTCGCCCTCAATGCCCTGGACCTAATGAGCTTGTCCCCTGTCCTGGAGCCTGTCCACAATGCAGATATGCATACAAACACACACACACTTTTGCTTTTTCCCCGCCCCCCCCTCTCCTCTCACACACACACACTCTAACATAGAAAGACAGCAGGCTCAAGCTGATCCAGGACACAGAGCTGGGGAGCAGGAAATTGATTAACGATAGAGTTGATTCCTTTGTTGTACTTGATTTGTTGTCATAACTGAAAATTAGAGCAAGGAACTGGATTTGCATGTGTTGTTTTTTTTTCTTTCTTTCTTTCTTGATGCACACCTTTTTAAGCCTTCTGCCATACACGTGCACGCACACACACACATGCAGTAAACCTCCTCACGTTGTCTCGCCATCCTCAGCTGGCCTGTTAAAAGCCCAACTGGCTCCTCATTCTTTGCTGGTTGTCATTGTAATGCAGTGCCCAAGTTTGTGTGTGTGGCCTTGTTTTCTCATACAGACCGCTGAGAATTTTAACCACTAACAACTCACCAACACACACGCATACCATGACACCCCGTCTACACAGCCGACCATGTGTGTGTGATGTCCCTCAGCGCAGCAGACGAAGCGTAGACGTGCCTGATCAGACGACTCAAACCGAGGACACACCCACACCTGTGTGTCCTTTTTACTGCCCGACTCTGCATGTGCCCTTAAAGGTCGCAGGAGAGAAATGATTCCTTTTTTTTTTTTTTTTGTCTGCGGAGCGCTGTAGAGGCCGAACACATCCCACTCTCTCAGTCCATCGTATTTTAGCCAAACAAAGCCTAACAAAGCAAACAAACAGACAAACAACCAGTGTTGGTGGTCTTGTTCTGGATATTTGTTTGTCCATGACTTTTGCGACTGTGTTTTGACAGTCCACGCATATTACTGACCGACTAGTGTTGTGATTAATGAAACATCATGTCAGTTCCCTCCCCGACGCACCATCGCCGTCTCACCGTGCCCCTTTTTATAACAGTGTTGTGAAGGATCTGTCTGACAGTTGCTGTGTAAGCAGGGATATTAACTCAGAATGAAAAATGCTCCTTTTTCTGTCTTAATTCGCTTCTTACTCTCTCCTTAATTCTCATTCTGCATTAACAAGTCCATTTTGCACAACTGAAGCATGTGCTCCTTCATCAGATTAATAAAAATGTATAAAAAGTTTTATTGTTTTATTTTATATTTTTCCAATGGAAGTAATGTTCCAAACTAAGGTAACATGTGTAGAATATATTTAATATGAATCGTATATAGAACATGATGACTTTAGATCTTGGTGATATACATTATATTGGTGTTTAGTCTATGATTGTGTATACGGTTAGCTTCTAGCCAGTTCACAGTCACTCGCTGACAATGTCTTGTGCTTAACAGCAGCAAATCCTCCCTAATCATTGATGGACTGATGGATTTTTATTTTCTTTCTTCTGTGCTCTTTTATTTTTATTTGTTTCCATTTGTTTATAATTTAATGTAATCCTTTTTTTCTTTGTGGTTTTTTGCTTTAAAGAATCGCTTTGTAACAGCACTAGGTCTTAAAAAATATTGTTTATATTGATCAGGGTTCAAATCTGTACAGAGATAAACGTTTTCAAACCAATTGTACATAGCACTAATGCTCCCTCTTCCCCCTCCAAACTTCAAAATGGAATACATCTGTAAACTAAATAAAGGTTATTGAAGTGCGCTACCCTGTGTCGTGATTTATTGCACATAAAGTCTGAAGTGTCACGTGATTGTTGACAGCTGATTTGAAGCAATCATGTTTGAACAGTGTTCACCAGAATGAAAAGCCGACTCAAGTTTTAAATTCAACAATTCAGCAAGTATTTCTGTTTAAATTATTCTTGATAGTTCCCAGAAAACTGTCAGCAAATTAGGTTTGGAAAGAATATTTTTAATGTAAACTGTAAAATCTGACAAGTTGATCTCACCTTAAAAAAAAAGGGTTATGTTTATGTACCTTTTTCAAGATTATTTTTTTTATTTTTAAAAAAAATAAATAAGATTAACATACCACGATAAAAGCTGTGTCACCTGCTCATGAAACACATTTCTGTTGAAATTATGGGCTGAAGAACGTTGATCCTTTTCTTAAAGCAGTAAGATTAGCATTGTTAATGCCACAGTATCAACAATGTAATAACATGACATTGAAAAGGGTCCATTCAAGTAGCATTTTTATGACATTTACATCATAGTACTAATGTAATTTTAGTCAGTCGAGTGAATTTTATTGTGTTGTTAAAGTTTTGCTAGAGTAAATGATGAGAATAGTTTTTCCACCCCTGTGTAAGACTGTGTTATGTGAAAAGTATTGATATATAGAGAAAACAAAACATCATATAACTATTTAGTTAAATCAACATATATTGTCTCGTTTACTTAATTGTAAATATATGCGTTTTGCTCAGTTCTAGTAAATTAACTTAAAATGTTTTTCATTTTCAGAACACTTTAGAATTTAAAAGGGTTCTTATAACATGATGTGTTCACTCAACTCATCAAATTAAGTGAAGAATTAAGAAACAAAACTCGTATGTAAGCAGACTTTCTAAGAGTCATTGTTATAGAAGTACAGTGACTCTTTTTTTGTACTTTGAGAAAATGGACAATGTGGAAACTTGCTGTGTCTTTAATACATGTTTAATCAAGTTATGGTCAGTACTGAATTCATAACTTGTCTGACTATAATCAGGAGCAGCTTTACAGGTTTTCTTTGTACTGACTGCAGATTAAAAAAAAGAGCTTCACTGGCTGAAGCTGTTAATTTTTAGAAGTAAATAAAGAAGAAACTCCTTCAAAGTTAGAAAATGTAAAAGGAAAGCAACTACAACTGCTGTCTAGTTGCTTCGACTTAATATCTTAAGTTTTATTTTCTCAATTTAACTTCAGACTTTCATAACTTATCAGATGACTTTGAAGGAATCAACCAAATTGCACATTTTTAAGCAAGCAGCAGGAGAACTTATACTTCTGTGGCTGTAAACGTATACAATATGGGACTGAAATGAAATGCGGTGAAGTAATATTTAGCACCAAATAAACAAAAGAAGAACTTTACGACAAAACAAGTAGCTCCTGACCAGACGTGCTTAGTTACAGTCCAGCAGTGAGTGAAGGAATGTGTTTCTTGTGAGTTGACAGTCAACAGATTCTGACTTGATGAAGTCTGCTGATTGGTACTTGTGGTGTCCTTTCAAGTCATAGTTCAATATGTAACTTATTCAGTTAAGACAAGTCTTGTTTGTATTAACTGTCTGTCTTGACATACATGAAACACAATCAGCAGTGGACTTTTAAAGACTCACCAAAGCTTGCGTTAAAAAATGACTAACTTTCCACTCACTCAGCATTCAAGCTGATAAAATCTGAACTAAAGCAAAAGAATAATAATATAAAAAAAAACTGAAGTTGCACCATTTTTTTTCCCTGTGACAACCATGTGATGCTGTTAAGTCATTGTCCAGTTTGCACAACAGTGAGTGGGCCAAAGTGCAGCAGGAAGAACAGCGAGGAACATAGAGTACAGTTCAGCCTGCCATCCCGAGGGCAAACCAAATATGTTCTACTACAGCGAGGGCAATTTAAAGCCATTGAAAAAAAAAGAAAAAAAAAAAGATAAACATCTTTAAATATCGTTAATTTTACGGCATGTCAGCACAGTGTGAGGGGAGTTCTGGATGTGAGAAGCTATTTTATTCCAGGGTGATGACTGCACTTCTGTTGCCATCGGTGTGTAGTTTTTTCCTTTCCTCCTCCCTGTTTTCGTCCCTCCCTCCTCTCCTCGCTGCACTCACGCTGTGTCCACTACACAGTAACGTGGGCCAGATATTCGACATGAATACAACTATTCTTCCTTCATTGAAAGGGTCTGGGTGCAGGCAGAGAGGATTGTGGTTACAGTAGCACCAGTCAAAAGTGCCACTCTGTTTTGCGTGACATTAAACTCAGTCAGTATCGCTGCTGCTTGGAACAACGCAGACAAATTACTGCTTCTCAGGTAGCGCGAGTCTGCATGAGTAAACATTTTGCAGTGTCATTTAAATAAACGTGACATTTACAACCGTGACATTCAAACACGCGGCTCGGCAGTAAACAGTAATAAAACTGGTATGATTTCATGTGTCTGACGCTCACTCCAGACTACAATAACCAGGTTTAAAATCAATGGGATTGGCAGAGTGACACCCTTTCATAAAGCTGCTCTTACACATTCATTTCTCATGTTGGGATGGATTACATGGGCAAAAATGTAATTATGGGGTAAGAGCCACCAAACATTACCCAAACAGCATTGCAAGACATGGTATGCTTTGCTCAGTTTTCTTTGCAGAGCGTGGTAAAGATTGAGGATGATGCCATCTTCTGGTAAAGTAGCTTCATGGCAACTCTGTAAATGCATGTGCAATTCTTAAAATGCCCCCACTGCCACTTGATTTTTATTTATTTATTTAAGTTTCTATTGGGAAGAAAGCAACACATTATACACAGCAGTAGACCTCTGTTGGGCTCTTGAGCAAGGCTCTAAACCCCACCTGCTCCATGGCTGATCCTGCACTCTGAGCCCAACCATCGAACAAAGCTGGGTTTTGTGAAGAATGAGGAATTTTATAAAGGCTTCATAAAAACTGTGAGGAACCCCCGTTTGTACAGTTCACTGTATCTATTATACTATTTTATAAACTTGTTGTTTAGTGACTATGTTGTATGTGGAATAAAAATGACTGACACATGACAGCTGAGGCCCGTAGGTTCTCCCATATGAACTGCAGATTCTGCCACCATAATAATAATAATAATATTTTTTAAAGAAATCTTTTTTTTGAGGAGTATATACTGCAAATATATCATTCTATATGCTACTCTTTTTTTTCTTTTATTACTCCCTCACTAGCAGGCAATCTCTACCCTTTGCTTTATATCTTTACATCTATTTTCGGTTGTTTGCTTTTGACATCACATCCAGCCACAGCTGTTGTATTTTGCTGCAAAAGTATAACTCATATAATTTACAATATCTGTTCCCAAAAACTTGCAAATTTTCAGTATCTTCCCACTGCAGTGCACATATTAACCTCTTAAGACCCGAGCGCTTGTTTGATATGCATTTTTTATTATTTTATTTATAACAAATATAAAGAAAAGAAAATATATAAAAATATACATAACAAGTATTTTTTAAAAAAAATAAAACATTTAATAAATACCAAACAATAGTAGGAAAAAATTTTTAAAAATCTATAAAAATGAACCACTGTGGTAATACAACCCAAAATATGACGTCTGCGCATGTGGACACCAGGTCTTCAGAGGTTAATAGTTCACTTTAAATGATGTAAAGTATTTTTGATTATGATACATTTGCAGTTTAAATCCAAGAAACAGTACTAAATGCACAATGACTTTCTGTTTTGGAATTAAATTACTATTTGTGTACATTGAGTGAAAACTTGGCAGAAAGACACACAGATTTCTAGCTTTTTAAAAAAATAAAATAAAACAACATTTATTTGTACATATGTAGCCTTTTATAAACCCTTTTTGTATTTCCACAGGCGATCTTGGGCTCTATAGATAAGAGACACGAGAATGAGATCTAAAAACAACTCCAGCAAAACCTGAGATTTTGACTGTAAACTAGTGAGTGAAAAGCAACCTTGTAATAATGGCTCAGTCACAATGATGATACTGAACCTGTTCTGAAAATTGTCAACTGCAGATATAGCGAACTCAATGCACATGAAATAAAGCGTCAGAAATGCTGCATGTGTTTTAGTCATAGTAGTAACACGGGGCCTCTCAGTGAACACAATTGAGTTTTTCTGACAAACACGACCTGGATCCACAACAGGGTTCTCCAGAGTGGAAGAGGTTACCCACTGAGCATGGCCACAGATCGCTTGTCAGTGTGATTTGGTGACAGCAACAATCTGGCCGTGCTTCGTGGGCGTAATGCTCTTTCGCTTCTGAATATTTCCTTTATCTCCTTGCTTCTCAGACAGTAGATGAACAGGTTGATCAGCAGGGAAAAGACTGTAGAAGAGGATGGTGGCGATACACTCGTCAGGGAAAGAAAGGCGTAGAATAGACTAAGAAATGTGGAATGTGGTAGATAGAAATAATGCAGACCTGGGTGGCACAGGTGGAAAAGGTCTTCACTCTCAGGAGAATATTGTGAAAGAAATATGAATAATAAATCAGAAAAACATAAAATATGTGCCGGTTTGGGACGTGAATTTTGTACTTTCAGTCATGAAGTTGTCTGGTTTAATCTGACAAATATACAGGATGTGAAAATACACCATTATTCACCGCACACTAGAGATGTGAGAGACACAGTGGGAAGACTTTTAAGTCTTATTGCACAACTCAGAGGGAAACTGAGTCCAATGTATTTTTCTTTCACCTGAGAGGAAAACAGATGGCCAGATATTGGTCCAGGGCCATGGTCAACAAAATCAGGGAGTTCAAGGAGCCAAAGTCGTGGATCATGTGCTCCTGGAAGAGGCATGTATGAAAGCCAAGACTCCAATCAGTCCACCAGTAGTGAGCAATTAGCTTTGGTAAAGCCACTGTGCTGGAGCCTAAAGGAAAAACAGGAAGTGAAGAGAATAACAGGAAAAGATAAGGCAGAGTAGATCACATGATGCACTTCTGTTTTTCAGTAAATCCGTCCACTATTTCTGGGTGAATAAATGGAATGCAATTTGAGAATCACATTCATTTTCAAAGCCAGTATTTCCTGTCGTATTGAAATGCATTATTACCTCCTGCTCTTCCTTAACACCAGCTACTGGAAACTAAACCAGGGAGGATTTCTCAGTTGATCTTTACGTCAATACTTGCGTCATTCCTACTTCTTTCACCTTCTTACATCAGAAATTCGGACTGCAGTTCAATTACAGATTTTCTGATTACTTCCCTCATATCTCCGGGTCATCAAAAGATCAAGAGGGCTGCTGTTGCTGCGATACCAGTCCAGATTGTCTCTACTGTTGCCTCTGCTACTCTTAGGTGTCAAAAACACATTATTTGCACAATCACCAAGACCACCAGTGTTTGCTTAATGGTGTACAATACCCAGGTGATGTGGTGTTAGGATTAATATTGTTTGTAGCAGCAGTGTTACACCTATTGAGAGAAGAACACCCATAGCAGGTAACGTAAAAGATATTTCCCAGTGTCTGACCACGATGATGTCCTTGGGCTTCTGGAGGCAAACACCACCACCCACCACCGTGGTCTCGTAGAGGAAGAAGAAGAACCACGCCAGGACTCCAGCTACAGACTGGGGCAGCCCACAATAAGAAACTCTGACACACCTGTGTGGTTCTCATCCACCTGAAACACACTGAAGGCAGATTGAGGCAGAAAATCCATCAGAAAAGTAGCAGCGTGTACCCAAAAGTTTCTCTCATTTATCTCAGGGCTTAGCTCACCGACTGGCCTTGACAGCGTGACAACGACAAGCAGCAACTCCTCAGATTTATAAAGAATTCATGATGGACAGCAGGGAAGAAAAAAAAAAATCAGCACAGTCATGTTGTCTAAATAACCTTTCAATAATAACGGAGCCTGGGTGTTTTCTTATTGTTACACTGATTCTGGCTAATTAACTAATGGCTGGCATGAAGTCAGTGTATCATGTTGCTTGCGCATCGTTTTCATTGCTAGAGCTCTCATAACATAAAGAATGTAGGAAAAATCCAGGTTAGGCTGTGCTGAAATAAAACATTAGAACAACCAACATTTTTATATTTCTTAATATGTGGTGAAGAAGGAATGAGAAAAATATTGTAGGGTCTTAACCGTAATTATGTAATTAGTGAGATAAATCTGTATGAGAAATATTGTTGTAGGGTTTTAACCTTACATTCATTTGACAACTCGGCAAAGTTAATCTAATTTAGGAAGGACCTATGGGTCTATTTTTATTTTTTTTAAATTTACCATACAAGCTTGGGACTTGATCAATACTAATTTACAAATGGAAATGCTTCTATAAACCTGGAGTGATTTTATGGTCCTGACACATTCTAGTAGGGCTGCAAGGTGGCGCAGTTGGTTCGGACTCTCACACTTTGCAGCAATAAGGTTGCCGGTTTGGGTCCCGGTGGGGGCACCGGAATCTTTCTGCGTGGAGTTTGCATGTTCTCCCCGTGCAGCGTGGGTTCTCTCCAGGTTCTCCGGCTTCCTCCCACAGTCCAAAAACATGTTGAGGTTAATTGGTGATTCTAAATTGTCCGTAGGTGTGAATGTGAGTGTGCTTGGTTGTCTGTCTCTAAGTGTGGCCCTGTGATAGACTGGTGTCCTGTCCAGGGTGTCCCCTGCCTTCTCCCTCAGTCAGCTGGGATAGACTCCAGCCCCCCCGTGACCCTAGTGAGGATTAAGTGGTGTATGGATAATGGATGGATGGACACATTCTAGTACAAATACACAGCGCAGGACTGACTGAGGGCAGCATCAAAATACACAGTATAAATATACAAACATACAGCGTGGGCTAAATGTACAGAACATACTGAAGATACTCCGCAAATGACACTGTCAAACAGCATTCTTGTCTAAATTGAACCTATATGCCCATGAAGAATACAAAAATATCTATTTGTACATCGTGTGCATTCATTCAACCTTTATTTAAACTCCAAGCACGCTGAGGTATGGAGGCCTCATTTGTAATGTAGCTGAGTAAGAATGAATTTTTATGTAATATTTTGTCAGTCTGTGCTGAACTAGTACTGAACAAGGACACCTAAAATGATCAGTCAGGATTCGTGTTTGTAATTACAGCTGTGCTTTTCATGTAAGGGCAAATTAGCTGTTGGCTGTGGCGGGGTTCAACCAGCAACCTTCCCAAACTGGGAGAAACGATGGCGTAGACGTCAGCTGTGGTTTTAAATTTATTTCAGGCCTCTCCAAAGTGCGACAGTGACTAGAATATTTACAAAGTGCAACAAAACAAAAAAAAAGTGCAAAAACCCAATCGTAAAAATAAGCAAAGGAAAAGAAAAGAAAAACTCTATGTACAGATCTATTTACACACCAGCTCTCCTTTAACTCCAACTTCAAAAACTCCGACCAACACTGTCACAATCACAATCACAATCACAACCACAATCACAATCACTGTCACTGTCACTGTCTCCAACTCTAGACTCCAACTACTCCCACCATCAGTCAGTGCCCAGAGCCCTTGGTTTTAAAACCCAAGCCCCTCCCACTGGGCGTACCCTTTACAGGTAAAATACAAAAATTATACAAGCATGTTTCCAAACAGTTTTTCCCCCAATTCACCCCTGCGATGGGAAACACTGAATTCTCATTCAGGGGACAGGGGTAGGGTTTCTCACCATAACCCATCGGCAGTTCATATAATAATGTTCACAGGGAAAATAATAAAATGTTGCGCGTCATGTGACCGGCAACTGCGCGGGCCCATACCATCTTAAGCCGGCTGATGGTATGGCCCGGGTTTTCCCGCCAAGCATTCCAGCCAGCTGCCTACCACTGCAATGGACGGTGAGTGTGTGTGAGTGTGTGTGAGTGTATGGATGAGAGAGAGAAAGTATCGTTGCAAGTGTGCACCCTTGGTCACGAGACTTAACAGCAGAAGTGAAATAGAATGAGGTGTGAGTGCAGGTTATTGTACAGTTTGTAACTGGATGTGCGTATGTGTGTCCTGTGTGTGTGTGCTACGCGGCTTATGCGCCGCGTCGGCGTGTGCCGCGTCGGCCTGCCGGCCCGCTAACCTCCGCTTGTGACAGCGTCGCTCCGTCACATTGGCAAAAAAAAAAAAACCAACCCACAAAACATATAAAGTGGGGATGAACAATGAATTGATTTGCAAATGTACAATTAGCAAAAAGGCTGCAGTGTAGGATGTCCATTATGCATTGCCTTTCATGTCATTTGTTTTACAAATGTGTGCCATCCTCACCGTTTTGATGGTATCTCATGAGCTCCATTACATGTTTCACATCTATTACAAAGTGAATATTGATCTGAAGTTTGACTTTTAAAAAATTATACGACAAACCAAATCCCGGTCACAATGTCAGTAACAAATATCACAATTAGATTTTTATCCCGAATCGTTCATCCCTACTAGTTCATCCTACTACATACATGATAGGATAAAATATCTGGAAAAAAAACCAACTGCTACTACTTTGATTATCTTTCAGAACCATACAGCAAAACAGCAACTTCCACAACTTGAGGTTGAGTGATGCAATCAATGCCACCACTATTCAAAAGGTGTGAGAAATACTAAGTAAATAATAGTTTTTTTATAGAGTCATTGTGGTCTCACTCATTGAATTCATGCTGTGTACGAAGTGCCATGGTGTTTGCTTTGGAAATTATTGCTCCACTGATAAGATTAGAAGGTTTGTGGAAGGCCTTGATGTCTGCCCTGTGATGTGACCATTTATTGAAAGGTGTGATTTATAGCTGGCTGGCGACTGCTCGACAGCCCCTGAAACGGTGAGGAACAAACTGTTGTTTTCAAATACAACACACCGGTTGATGTCTACCTTTGGTACTGGAAATATATCAGTGCATTACTCTGCATTGATTGGTGAATTTCAGAATAACACTATAATAAACAGTTCTGTATCATGTGCTGAAACCATTAAGAATCAATCACCAGCTTTGAAGTTCTAGAGCTCTTTTAGCATCTCTTATCTTGTTTTGTTTTTGTCACTATAACAGCTTTTCTACTTTGAAAAGCTCTAATAAATGCACTGCATAGAACCTATCTGGCACCAAACTACAGACAATTGCGAAGTAGAGAATAGGACAGTATTGCTTTGTGTATACTGGATGTAAAAGTTTGCAACTTTTTGTGAGGCCTTAATAAGCCGGTGACTGCTATCAACTTGTTCTGATATGCTGTTGCCCCCTTATGGTCAAAGTTAGTTTCATCTGATGATTGATTAGGTGATGAAGGATTTAGGGACAGTTTTACGAACAGGGCTTTGGCTGACAGTGAACCTTACCGTAAAGTATGTCAATACTTTAAATTGTTTCTATACTAGACGCTAACTAAAGGCCAGACGGGGCTGTCAGTTTTAAGTATCACGTGAATGATGTGTTCTATCTTGAGTGGTCTTGTAACAGACAGAGAATTTCATACTAAAAAGTTTAGTTCTGGATAATGTTCACCTAAACTTTGTAATATGTTGCATTATCTTTGGCTTGTGGGATTTTGTTCCCCACTTCTTATAGAGGACCAAGGCTGTGAAACTAAATGTTGTGCAACTAAACCAATCTTTACCTAAACTGGTCCCCTCTGACTAATAATGGAATTTGGCCAAATTCCAGCCAGTTTTCAGCTTGATTTGTTGCATCAGATGAATGTCTGGCATGTCACACATTTTGGTTGGCTGTCTTGCAGTTTGACAAGTTCAGCAGTTTGATTTTCCACATGGCATTAAATCCCAAAATCCAACAGCAGGTTCACTATCTGTAAAGATAATCGCCAAAATTACACCATTTGTCAGAGCC